CTAGCTTGAGATCTTATACATTACTAGCTTGAGATCTTATACATTACTAGCTTGAGATCTTATACATTACTAGCTTGAGATATGCCCGATTTACAACAGTACCATCGAAAGCTCTGTCGATTCAAGTATGAATTAAATATCCATGTTTTTGTTTATTGAAACTGTTGATTTTTATTTGTAGTTTCTCTGCAAAAGTGACATGGGCATTTCTTGCTTTTAATAATTTTAAAAATTATCAGAATTAAACCCTTATTTGAGGCAGTGAAATGACGTTGTCTTCCACATATTTAATCAGATTAAGGTTTCAAGGGTATCGTTGTAAATCGGGAATCGCTTTCTTTGCAAGGAGGGTCATTTGAAATTACGCTTACAGTCCCTTTAAGTTAAGATTAATACTTTTTGTTCCTAAAAACGAACAAAAAATGTCACACATTTTCTATTAAACTCTGGGTGTATGTAATATATACAGTTGTACATCTGCTAATCCTTAACTACGCAAAACTTGTAATGCGACTAGACTAGCTACGTATTGTGATTAGCTTAGCTACGATGATATATATATATATATACCTGCGCAAATCTTATAAATACGTACATATTAACTTAACCTGTGAAATAGATTGTTAAATACACATTAGTTGGTATAGACTCTGCTTTGATTATTGGTTGTGAGCATGAGAGCTTTAAATCCCAGTTAGATCTCCTAAAGCCAGACCTTTACTATCGCATAAATTTTACCTTCTTCCAGTTTTCAGTCATAATGCAGGAGTTTTTCTTATGCACAATCACAGAAGTTTTCAATAAATCCTGGAAGAAAAAATGGCTGCCTTTTGATTATTTATTGTGTTTAGGGGAAGAGGGCTGATTGCTGAAGGAGCTCAGTTTATGCTTATGAATACAGATATACAGGTTGGTATAGGGAAACTTCCAAAATAATTCCCCCCCCACCCCACCAAAATATGATTTTAAAAAGGTTTGGTTAGCAATCACTATAAAAGAAACAAACTTTTCGAAATTACAAACTTTAATTTTTAAATTAATATTGTGAGAAATATTTCAAGCTTTCTGCTCAAAATGTTGTAATTTCAAAAAGTTCACAGTGTCAGTGCTTTTTTATTCAATAACAGTTTACGGCTACACAAAACCCAGTATGCAATGACTCCAATGACCGGATCGACTTTTAATTATCACAAACGTTGGCCATTGATTTACATCACTCTTGACCATAGAGAATAGAATATATAGAGAGGAATTTAATGGAAAAAAGTGTAAAACGGCCATTTTGTTGTACTGTTTCCATACTGCAGGTGTACTTCACATATTTATGCTATATAACCTGTTGGGCCCTGGAATATCATTATATAGAAAATCTAAAATTATTGTTAAAAGAAAACCAAATTATGAAATAGGCTGGTTTCATAATTGACCAATGATCAT